CGGAATTGGTTTGGTACATGTGGAATCATCTATTTAGCCTTGCCGGTATCAGTCTTTAATCATACCATAGGACTAGTGGAAAAGAAAACTACCAGAAACTTGGGTGCTTGGTGAGAGACCCTAACTAGTGGAGATGAAAATATAATCCAAAACCCTATGAAAGAATATGGGCTAGTGATGAAGATCCTCTGGTCCCTATTTCCCCTTGTAGGGGTTGCAGCACTAGAATAGGCTCATAGAAACCACTCATTTGAAATTGAGGCCAGGACTCAGTCTCTTCCTTCCAAATCAAAGTAGAAAATCAAAGTAGATTCTTTAGAACAAATGGACTTACGTACAAAATTTTACATAAAAAATTCGTATGATCCTACACCTTATTATGGCTTCACAGGAGAGGGCCCTGTGCTATGATGGATAAGTCTGGTTGTTTCTATATTAACTGATCAGGAGAAATTGTGATAAATCTTCATAAAATCCAACAGGTTATAGCAGAAACACAGTTACCTAAACCAAACGACCCTTGGTGAGATTCTTCCTCTTGATGTACTTAGTTACAGGGAAATAGCATATTAGCTACCTTAGGTAAACCGGCTGTTTTTGATTTATGCGTCATTATTGTTCTTAGGCTTTGTATTAACTGTTGTACTAAGCTATGTGAAACGATGCTTCTTAGTGAGCTTTTCTTGGTATATAATCCTGATAATGAACATATAAAACTTCATATAAAAAACTTTATAAGTTTGATTTATAGATAGTAGTCCGTGGGGGTAAGAGGCAAGATCAAAGGAAGAAACTGTGAGAATCAAACTGACCTCCTTTTGTGAACAGTGATTCCATTTTGTTGTTTTCATGTAAATCACCTGAATTCCACTTGCTCGCTCTCCCCCTCCCAGCTTGGAAAAGACCAAATCTCTCCTCCAGTAAGGAATCTGATTACCTAATCTTGCATCCTGTTTTGTATCCTATTTATTGTTTTCTTTTACTATGTAAAAATCTGTGCAGAATCTATCTTCAAGGTCCTTGTGCCTTCTGAGGAGTCCTGGACCTGATTTGTTGCACTACCTGCATACCTTGCTAATAAGTCACGTAGCTCAAACTCTGTTTCCTCTTATAAATCTGTTTGTGACAGTCAGACTATGAATAGCTTTAATGTCAAAAGAAGAGTTTGTATTTTATTCTAAAGGCAATGGGAAGTTCCTGAAGTTTCTTGAGTAGAGGAGTGACATTATCAGACGTGCTCTTTAGGAATATTATCTCTGTCCAGCTAAATATTTCTCATATTTATTATTCTGAATATTATTCCAAATACTTAGCTGGACAGAAGTAATATTTCTAAAGTGTCTTTCTTAAAATATTAGGAATATTTAGTTGCATAGAGGGTGTGTTCCAGAAGAGGGAGAAAGACTGGATTCAAGAAGATCAATTAGGAGGCTATTCCAATAGACAAGTGAAAGGTAATGGGAGCTTGAATAAGAGGAGTGGTTGTGAATGGAAGTGAATATGTTGTGGTGGTTGAAATTAATAAGATTTAGCAACTGATTGCCTACTAGAGTGAGTGAGAGTAAAAATTTGAGACTGACTTTGAGGTTTCTAACCTGGGTGGCTAGAAGAATGGTGATCTTGAGAACCAGTGGACCATAATGGATAAAGAGCTGACTTCTGAGTCAGGAAGACCTAGGTTCAAGTCTGCCTCTAATACTTACTGGCTTTCTGTCCCTGGGCAAATTGTTTTCACCTCTCATTCCCCCAGGCAATTCCCTAAGACTTAAGTTGCAGCTCAGATGCTGTTCTGCATTGGTAGAGGGAGTTCTTCTTCAGCAGGTCCTTTAACTGATGAAAACACAAGTCCAGTAAGAGAGAAAAGTGCTGGGAAATGTGGAAATCAGGAAGAAGGCAAGGCTTAGGAGGATAGATAATGAGTTCTCTTTGGAATGTGTTGAGTTTGAGAAACCTGTGGGACTGAGGCTCAAAGGAAAGATGAGGACTGAATATGTTAATTTGAGGGTCATCTGCACAAAGATTATAATTGAAATAAGTGGAAGCTAATGGGACCCCAAGAAAAAGAAAGAGAAAAGGAAGGGCTTGGAACAGAGCCTTTGTGTACAGCCATGAATGAATGTGGGACTTGAATGATGATTCTGTAAAAGAGAACCAGATCGATCAGTCCAAGGTAGCAAGGAAACCAGGAGAAAAATAGTGACACAGAAACCCATGGAAGAGAGAGTATCTAGAAGGCGGTGGTGCATTAAATGGTGCAAAGAAGTAAAAAACAAACAAACAAAACCCAACAAAACCACATGAAAACCAAGAGAAGAAAACAATGAGAACTAAGAAAAGGCCATTGGATTTAGTAATGAAAACATCATTGACCTTGGACAGAGAAGCTTCAGTGAAGTGGTTTGGGTAAAAACCTGACTGCAAGGGATTGAGAAGTGAGTGGGATTAGGAAGTGGAGACAACCGAGTTTGGAAACCTTTTCCTAGGAATTTGGCTATGTGAAGGGAAAAAGGTTATAGGAAAGGTAGCTCAGAAGAGAATCAAGGATAAACATGGAGGACTTGGTATTGGCAAGAAGAGCTGCCTCATTCTGTGAGGCAGAAAGAGTAGAGGACAAGGGGTGATGCTGAGGTGATGTGAAGTGTGAGGTTAGAGAATAAGGAAAAGAGAATAAACATTTATTAAGTACCTACTATGTTCCAGGCACTGTGCCAAGCACTTTGCAAATATTTCATTTGATCTGTACAACAACCCTGGGAAGTAGGTGCTGTTATTTATCACTGTTTGACAGTTGAAGAAACTGAGGAAGATAGGTTGAATGACTTGCTTGGGGTCATAACAGCCAGCAAGTGTCTGAGACAGGATTGGAACTTGGGTCTTCCTGATTCCAGGCCCAGTGCTTTATCCACCGTACCAGTTACCTACCTCTAGAGGGAGGTACCAATTTTAAGGATGGCCTCAGTTTAAAATATAGGCTTCTCTATGGAAAGCCATAATCTAGATAAAGAGGAAGCATTAGTGGAACGCATTTTGATGAGAAAGCAGGAAGGAGCAGAGGTAATATTGTGTGGGTGTTCTGTGTTTGTCAGCCAGAAAGAAAGAGTTAAAGAGTACTGAGTTCTAGAAACAAACCACTAATCTGGTGCTGAGGTAGTATACTATATTGGTGAAAAGGATTGTTAATTTTCCACACATCTAATTGAGAAATTGAACAACTGAGAAATTTTAACTTTAAGTAACATTAAGTAAGTTAAGTAAGTTAAGTAAAATTTTTTATTTAACTTTGTTTATAAGAGAGTAGAGGAAGCAATAAGGGAAACTTATTATTCCAGGACCTGATTTCTACCAAGAAAAATTCATTGATGAACTGGAAATTCCTTTGCAGGAAGAGATTACTTCATTCTAGAATATGTGACAATAAGGACAATGAAGGTAAAACTGGACACAGTTATACATACCTTGTATTTTGGAAGAGTGGATTTCAAAAATTTCAAGGAAAGGAAAAGTAGGACTTATGGTCTAAGATACTGTAGCAGAAGCTAAGGTCAAGAGGATTATGTTATACTGACAGACATATCTCTAGTGCAGAGACACTAAATATGGAAATTAGTTTGGCAACATTAATTTTTATTTTAAAAAATGTTAAATTTTTATTGCTAGCTCTTGTTTTTACATTGCTTTTATTTCTGAATATGTACCTCTCCTCTTCTTTCCCCAGAGAACCATCCATTGTAACAAAGACTAAAAAAGAAAGAGAAAGAAATAGATCAGCAAACACAACTGATATAGCAATCAATTGTGTCAGTATATGCAGTGTTCTGCTGCCGCAAGCCATCAGGTCTGTAGAGTCAGGAAATTGCCAAAGATGACAAAAGATAGCAGTAGTCAGTGTTGGAGGAGTTGTGGGAAGATAGACACACCTAATGCGTTGTTGAGGGAGCTGTAAATCAGTTTAACCATTTTGGTTGGCAGTTTGAAATTTTGAAAATGAAGTGACTAAAATGTCCATGTTCTCTGTCAGAGATTCTACTACTAGATTTATATCCCAAGGTGATTATTAATAAGAACAAAGTCCTTATATACACAGAAATATTAATAGCAGCACTTTTGTGGTAGCAAACACTTGTAAACAAAGTAGATGCCTGTCTATTAGGGAATGACTAAAGAAATTGTGGCATATGCATGTATTGGAATATTGCTGTCCTTCAAGGTGATGAATATGTCAAATTCAGAAAATTATGAAAAGATCTACATGAATTAAATCAGAGTGAAGTAAGCAGAGCCAGGGAAACCATCAGCTAGGTGGTGCGATGAATATAGTACTGGACCTGGAGTCTGGAAGACTCATCTTTTCTGAGTTCACATGCAGCCTCAGATGCTTACTTACTGTGTGACCCCAGGCAAGTCACTTGCCCCTGTTGCCTCAGTTTCCTCATCTGTAAAATGAACTGGAGAAGGAAATGGCAAACCACCAGCATCTTTGTTGAGTAAACCCCAAATGGAGTCATGAAGAGTTGGATACGACTGAACAACAAAAATAATGTATTTCTCAGCACCATATATTGTTGTTCATTTGTTTCAGTTTCTCCAGCTCATTTTAGAGATGAGGAAACTGAGGCAAACAGGGGTAAGTGACTTAACCTCTTACGCCTTGAAAATAAGTCACATAGCTCAACCTTTGTTTCCTCAGTTACAATAAATATATTTGTGACAGTCAGACTGTAAATAGCTTTAATGTCAAAAAGAAGAGTGTATTTGTATGGTTCTGTCTTTCAACTGGGCACCAATGAACTTGTAAAATTTCTTAAATAATGAAACCACGATTATTTGGGTTCTATAATCTCCCTGTTTGGCTATAGTGTTTGATTTTTTTTTTTTTGCTTTTAAAAGGAAATAATTAGAAATTTTTTTCTTTCTAGAAAAATTGATTGCGTATCAGCCAGAATTTCATGCCTTGAAACAACGTCTCCGTATAGCTGAACATAGAATCTTGCAACGTTCTTCCGAACTAAATGCCATCTTAGAACAATTCAGACGTGTCATAGCTGAAACAAATGGAACCAAGGCTGCATCAAGTAATTTTTCAGGTACAATAAATATTTTTTGGATATTTTTTGGTAGGTTCTTGAAAAAATTTGGAAATAGCCAGGAGGATGTTAAGATTGTGTTTTGAAACAAAAGTGAATTGAAAATTTTTTTCATCAGTCTGTATGCTGAAAACACTTACGTGGTGTGTAATGTTACATGAAGTCAGCTTTTGTTATTCTTCTCTGGGAAGCTAGTAATTAGGGAGAAAAAGAGCATCATCACAAATCTTCATCCTATTGTGGTAAAGTTTAAAAGCTTGTCCTAACCATTAACCAGAATTGTTTAAGAGCGTATAAAGCAGTATAGCAGTAGAGTTTACATTGAAAACAGGAAAATGAAATTGATTTTATTTCCCTTTTTGAAGTACAATATAAAGTTATTAAATTGCTTGAAGTTTTACTTTACATTTTCTCATAATGCCTGTATAATTTTTATATTTGCATGATAGCATTGCAACCTATATTCAGAACCCAGATGGCTCCTTCAAAGTAAGAAAATCATATATTTAGGGCTTCAAGACTAAATAAAACCATTAGCTCTAATTTAAGTTAAATAGAATAAACAGACCTGGACCTAAGCAGGAAATAGTCCAGATCCTACTGGATTTGAAAGACCAACTTCTTAATATCTTACAAATACCTGTTGTAGATTCATAGTTTTGTTCTGCTTAGTATTAGTCAAAAGCAGTTTTGCATTTGCATTTTAACATTTGTTTTGAGTGGTTCACCCTTGGGAGACATTAGTTTGTGGATTGACAGGGTTCTTCTTTTGAGCTACAGCCTACATAATACCTTTAAAAACAAACAAATAAAAACAAAACCAAAAGCAAGTCTTTCTTGGGGGGCAGAGCCAAGATGGCAGAGAAGAGGCAGGGACTTGCCTTAGCTCTCCCAAATTCCCTCCAAATACTTTTGAAATATTGCCTCAAAACAAATTCTGGAGCAGCAGAACCCATAAAAAGATGGGGTAAAACAATTTTCCAGACTAAGACAAATTAGGAGGTTGGCAGGAAAGATCTGTTGCACTGGGGTGAGAGTGGAGGGCATCCAGTGCAGGCCATGCCAGCACAACCCCAGCCCCAGCCAATCTGCAGTAGACCCTGGGAGTGACTGAATCAGCAGTGGCCTTGGCTAATTCCGAAGCTCTCAGTCCATAGATGGAAAGGGAGACAGACAGCTGGTCAGAAGGAGATTACAGGGGTCCCTTTGCTGGCACGAGGGCAGGAATCTTGTAGGGCTGTTGCATTGCACATACTCAGATCCAGGTTGCTGTCCTGGGTAGCAGTCTCAGGGCAAAGAGGAGCATTAGTATACTAGAACTTGATGCTGCAAGGCAGCAGGGACCCTGATCACAGTTCCAGGGTAGAAAAGAGTGCTTGTGGTCACTCACAGACCAGAGCACAGGCCAGGAGAGTAGTAACCATACTTCTCCTTAGATCATACAACTGTAGAGGAACTGAAAGCTTACAGACCCCCAGAACTAGCTCAAAACAGCTGCACAAAAACCCTGAATTTGGGAAAGTGTGTCCTTCACTCCAGAAGCAGAACCCCACTTTAGCATAGAGTTAAAAGTCAAGAACTAAGCTGGAAAAATGAGAAAACAACAGAAAAATTCTGACTATAGAAAGTCACTGTCGTAAAGATCGAAATATACACTCAGAAAACAACAAAATTAAAACTCTACTATGTGCAAAGCCTTGAAGAAAAATATGAATTGGTACCAGGCCATGGAAGAGCTCAAAAAGGATTTTAAAAAATCAAGTAAGAGAGGTATAGGAAAAATTGGGAAGAGAAATGAGAGTGATGCAAGAAAATCTTGAAAAAAGAATCAACAGCATGGTAAAGGAGGCACAAAAAAATTGAGAAAATAACACCTTGGGGCAGCTAAGTGGTGCAGTGGATAAAGCTACGGCCTTGGAGTCAGGAGAACCTGAGTTCAAAGCTGGCCTCAAGTGTCACTTACTAGCTGTGTGACCTTGGGCCAGTCACTTAACCTTGATTGCGTCACCAAAAAAAACCCCCAAAACCAAAACACCTTAAAAAACAGATTAGGCAAAAAAAAAAAGAGGTACAGAAATCCAATGAGGAAAAGAAAAAAAGCAGAATGGGCCAAATGGAAAAAGAGGGACAAAATTCACTGAAGAAAAGAACTTAAAAATTTGAATTGAGCAGGTGGAAGCTAGTGATTTTTTGAGACATCAAGAAAAAATAATACAAGATCAAAATAATGAAAAATAGAAGACAAAGTGAAATATTTCATGGGAAAAACAGCTGACCTGGAAAATAGATCCAGGAGAGATAATTTTAAAATTATTGGATTACCTGAAAGCTATGATCAAAAAAGAGCCTAAACAACATCTTTCAAGAAATTATCAAAGAAAATTGCCCTTATATTCTAGAGTCAGAGAGTAAATAGAAGTTGAAAGAATCCACAGATTACCTCCTGAAAGGGATCCCAAAATGAAAACTCCCACGAATATTACAACCAAATTCCAGAGTTTCCAGGTCAAGGAGGAAATATTGCAAGCAGCCAGAAAGAAATAATTCAGATATCATGGAGCCACAGTCAGAATAACGCAAGATTTACCAATTTCTACATTGAAGGATTGGAGGGCTTGGCATAAAGGCAAAGGAGCTAGGATAACAACCAGGAATCACCTACCTAGCAAAACTGAGTATAATCCTTCAGGGGAAAATGGACATTCAGTGAAATAGAGGACTTTCAAGGATTCCTGATGAAAAGACCAGAGCCGAAGAGAAATTTTTACTTTCAAATAAAAAACTCGAGAAGCATTAAAATATAAATGGGAAAGAGAAATCATAAGGATTTTAATAAGGTCAAACTGTTTGCATTCCTACATAGGAAAATGATACTTATATCTCCTCAAAACTTTCTCATTACTAGAGCAATTGGAAGGAGTATATATATAGAGGCCACAGGTGTGAGTTGAATATAATGGGATGATTATCTAAAAAAAAATAAAATTGAGGGGTGAGAAAGAGGACATTGAGAGAAGGGGAAAGGGAGAGGTAGAGTGGGGTAAAATATCTGACATGAAAGAGGCATTAAAGAGCTTAGTGGAGGGGAGGATGGGAGATCAGGGGATGAGTGAACCTTACTCTCATCAGAATTGACTCAAAGAGGGAATACATATGCGGTTAGATATAGAAGTTTATCTTACCCTACAGGAAAGTAGGTGGAGAAAAAGATAAAAGAAGGGGTGAGGATGGGCTGTGATAAAAGGGAGGACAGATTTGGGTAGGTAAAAGACAGAAGCAAAACACTTTTGAGGATGGACAGGGTGAAAAGAGAGAGAGTGGGATTAAACAAGGGGAAAAATAGGATGTAGGGAAATACAGTTAGTAATCATAACTGTGAAAAAAATTTAATAGTAAGTTTCTTTGAAAAAGACCTCATTTCTCAAATATATAGGAGAACTGAGTCAAATTTATAAAAATAAGAGCCATTTCTCAGTTGATAAATGGTCAAAGGATGTGAACAGGCAGTTTTTAGACAAAGTAATTAAAGCCATCTATGATCATATGAATAAATGCTGTAAATCACTATTGATGAAAAATACTCAAATTAAACAGCTCTGAGCTACTACCCCACACCTATCAAATTGGCCAATATGACAGAAAAGGAAGATGACAAATGTTGGAGGAGGTGTGATAAAATTGAGACACTAATGAATTGTAGGTGAAGTGTACTGATTCAACCATTTTGTAGAACAGTTTGGAACTATGCCAAAAGTGCTATAAAACCATGCATACCCTTTGACCACGTAATACCACTACTAGGTCTGTATCCTAGAGACATATTTAAAAAAAAAAGGAAAAAGACCTGTATGTACAAAATATTTATAGCAGCTCTTTTAAAGGTAGCGAAGAATTGGAAATTGAGGGTATGCCCATCAGTTGGGGAATGGCTGAACAAGTTGTAGTATATGATTGTGATGGAATACTATTGTTGTATAAGATGATGAGCAGGATGCTTTCAGAAAAACCTGGAAAGACTTACATGAACTGATGCAAAGTGAAGTGAGCAGAACCAGGAGAACATTGTACACAGTATACAGTAAAAGCAATATTGTACAATGATCAACTATGAGGGATTTTGCTGTTCTCAGCAATACAATGATCCAAGATAATTCTGAAGGACTTATGATGAAAAATGCTTTCTATCTCCAGAGAAGGAACTGATGGTGTCTGAATGCAGATTGAAGCGTATTTTTTCTTTGCCTTCTTTATCTTTCTTGTTTTTTTTTTTTGTTTGTGTTTTCTTTTACAACGTGGAGATACATTTTGCATGACTGCACAGGAAGAAAATGTGGAACTCAAAAAAAAAAAACAACCAACATTTAAAAAAAATATTTATTTATTTATTTTTAGTTTTCAACGTTCACTTTTATAAGATTTTGAGTTTTAAATTTTCTCCTTCTCCTTCCCCTCTCTCCTCCCCAAGATGGTATGCAATCTGATATAGGCCATACATATAAAATCATATTAAACATATTTCCATATTAGTCATGTTGTAAAGAAGAATTAGAACTGAAGGGCAAACCACAAGAAAGAAAAAAAAAAGGAGAAATAGTATGCTTTGATTTTCATTCAGACTCCATAGTTCTTTCTCTGGATGTGGATAGCATTTTCTATCGTGAGTCTTTTGGAATTATCTTCAATCATTGCATTGCTGAGAAGAGCTAAATCTGTCAAAGTTGGTCATCACACAATGTTGTTGTTACTGTGTACGATGTTTTCCTGGTTCTGCTCACTTCACTCAGCATGAGTTCATGCAGGTCATTCCAGGTTGAAAAAGGCAAATGTTAAAGACTGTTTTTGCAGGTAATTGGGGGAAAATAAAATATTAACTTATAAAAAAAAAGTCCTTTTTGGACTTTCTAGTTGCTTGAAAGCAACCTTCTCTACCACAAAAAAGGGTGTGAGGAAGTAGTAGTAGTAGTAGTGGTATTGGACTAGAGTTAATAATTGTTACTGCTTTCTGTTTCACATACCAGAAGACAGTGACTCCATTGTTAACCTAATGGAATGTTTTCTATTTATGAATAATTATCCATCCCAAGAGTAGTATATACATATATAAAATCATATTCATATTTGGAGGTGTCATGTAGCTTATGATGGTGGTGCTTATAAATGTGATTGAAAAGCCAAAGAACAGAAAGTAAGGATAGCACTGTATGTTCCTATTATGAATAATGGTAGCAGAGGAACCCATTGATGCCTTTACCTGTTAGTTCTAATCCCTACGATCTATGTTTTGTTGTAACTGCTTTAATCGCTGAACTGATGTAAATGTGTGTTACTTGCCTTGTGATACTCATGAATCATTCCTGCTTCCCCATTTCATATCGCAGAATAAGCCTTTTGTCTTATTTAGATGTTGGGGTAATAGGTTATGCTAGCCATTGTTGCATTGTGGGCTTTTTCTTTTTTTTACCAATGAGTTATCTTACTTTAAATGCTCATGCTTCTTTTTTATTTTTGGAAAGTTAGTATTAAATTTGAGAAAATTAAAAACTTTTCATTTTTACTACTGAATTTTTACCATTTTATTAAAAGTTTTCTTGTTGTGCTTTAGTGATAACCTGAAAATCATAATCCAAATTTGCCTGGTTGTGTTTATTGCTTAAAATCTTATGGATTGAACCTCTCAGTTTAAAAAAAGTATTCTTTTCCACAATTTGTATTGGGATTTTGGGAATGAAATGCAGCAAGATGAGAAGTTATTTAAAAATTATATGGCATTGCATTTTAATTAGCTAAGGATGTTTAGCATTTTTATGGACTGCATAATATAGATGATAAGTCATCCATCATAATGGTTTATTCAGAGGTATTGCTAGCCATTGTAACAAACAGTATAAAAAATGATGATTGTTATGTTTTAATAGAGAAGAGAAAATTCATTATTGATATGGATGTTATCCCTGAATCAGCTGTTGCTATACATTCAGAATGCCAACTTATTATAAAATATTAGAATTAGTATACAGCTAGAAGAAGAATGAGAAAATGGGTTTGCAGTTGAAACAGTTCAATCTTGATCTATTTTAACAAGTTATTAAAGATGAAAAATGGATGATAAATAGTAGAGTTATAATAATCTAATATAGAAGTTTAACTAATCACTTGCTATTAAAAAGGAAACCAAAAGAGCCTAAAAAAAAGTGCCATACAGCAAAAACTCTCAACTGCCTCATCAGGCAAAGGAAGATAGTGATGAAAGGCAACACTAGTTTAGAATATAAACTGGTTTTTAAAATCTTACAAAGAAGAACAGTGGAATATTGTGAATAATATTGCCTCAAAGCAGTAAGAAGCAGTTGAGTTAAAACCAGTTTGTAAAAACTCTCAGCAAGAGACCAAATTAAGCAAAGCCATTCTAAGGGTACTTACAGATGAAAATGAAAGACAACAAATAGAAATAAAATAGAAAAGATCTGGAAAGATTTTTTTTTTTTTAACATTTTTCACCAGCACAGAGAGTAGAATCACCATACTTATGGACTCTAATGTGATAGTTATCAGATGTGCTTATAAAGGAGGTAGAACTATCCCTAAATAGAACAGAGCAGAGCCCTCTTTGCAGAAATAAAGACCTAAATAACTGGAGAAAAATTAATTGTAGGTAGATTGAACCAATATAATAAAATGATACCTGAATTAATTTTACTCATTCAGTACTGTGGCAAACTCCCAAAACAATGTTTTATAGACCTAGAAAAATAATAAAATTCAAAATTCTTATAGAGCAGAGACGTCAAACTCCTGCTGGCCTGAGTAGAACCAGATTAAAATGTAATTGGGAAATGTTTAACAAAATAAAAATGCAGTACAATGTAGGTAATGTTACTTTGTGGTTTTCCAAGTCAGTATGCAACCACATGTATCCCTTTGAGTTTTATAACACTGATATAGAGAAACAAAAAGTCAAGAATCTCAAATATAATGATAGAAAAAAGTGAGAAAGGAGGCAATCTGTCAGTACCAGATCTCAAACTTTTACTACAAAGTAATAATTTAAAAAATGATTAAATCATTAAAATGATTTCATAATGATTTAAAAGAGATCAGTTGATCAATGGAACAGATTAGGTACCCCATGTACAGAAGCAAACATACTCAGCAGCACAGTGTTTGATTAATCCAAAGATCCTGATTACTAGAGGTAAAGGCTTCTTATTTGACATGAACTTCTGATAGTACTGTATAACTGGCTGGAAGAAATTAGGTTTAGACCCATCCTCATGCCATACACCAAGATGAATTTCGAATGTATGCATGACTGAGATATAAAAGAATATATTATAAATGAATTAGAGGAGTAAGGAGGAAATTACCTCTGAGATCTGTGGATAGGAGAAGAGTTCATGACTAACCAAGTGATAGAGAAGATCATGAAATATAATAATTTTAAATATTTAAAATTAAAAAGTTTTTGTACAAACAAACCTGATGTAAAAGTTAGGGAAAAAACAGGTTCATAAGGGAGAGTCTTTGTAACAAGTTTTCTCTGATAAAGGTATCTTAGTAAATATATATCTGTGTATTGTGTGTGTATGTTTGTATACATACATATGTGTATGTATATAACTGATTCAAATTTACAAGACTAAGAACTCCTCCTCAATAGATAAATGGTCAAAGGATATGCATAGTTTTCAAAAGAAGAAATCCAAACTATCATCAATCATATAAAAATCCTCTAAATTACTGTAGTTAGAGAAAAGCTGCTTTTAAGGATCTACCTCACTCCTCTTAGGCTGGCAAAGATGACAGCATCATAAAATGGCAGATATTCAAGGAGATGTAGGAAAACAAATATCTGAGTGCATTGGTGATGGATCTGTGAATTAGTCCATCCATTGTGGAAAGCACTTATGATGCCCCAGGGTCCGTACATACTCTTGGCGTGTATGATTAGTTAAACCACTAATAGATCTGTAGCTCAGAGAAGTCAAAGAAAGAGGAAAAGATTCTGTATGCATAAAAATATTTATATCATCTCTTTTCATGGTAGCCAACAAGAGGGTGTCCTCTTATTGGCAACTGGCTAAAGAAATTGAATATCCTTCAGATGCTCCTGTTTGCGCATGACTTCATGCTGGTTTCACAAACTCCTTAACATTGCAGAACATTCTGGAAGACTATAAGAACTGAGAAGTTTGGCTTGACCATAGGGAAAGATCAAGTAGAAAAAGAATGTTAAAAGTTCAAATTTTGACATGCAGTTGGATGGACAGCCTATAAAGGTTGTCCATAGTATGTATGTAGTGTAATGGATGAGTTAGGCCCAGGATTAAATAGGAGGAGGAGAATGAACTGGATTGCTTTCAGGAAATTGTGTAGCTACTTGATTCATCCCAAATTTCTCCAGAAACAAAGACCCATCTTTTTAATACCCATATAAACCATTGTCAAGCCTTGGAATCCTACAGTCAACAAAGAATTAAAAATGAATATTGCTTAGAAAGCAATGGAGAGGCTCATGATGGGTATGAGTAGGCTTCAACATGGGACCCATGAAGAATTTAAAAGAATAAGCCTGAAAAACATCAAGGATGTATGTGACAGAAAAAGTTGATAGGCTGGTCACTAGACAAAGGCCAGGGGTGACATTTGTACAAACCAGTTGTTCTGCTGGTAGCTTTGTGATTGCAGAAGAAAATGAGGAAGAACTCTAGCCTGTTGGAGGATACTCTGTGTGAACTTATGGAAGACTGATAAAAGTCATACAGAAGACATGGATAAGTTGCTGTTTACGTTGTTAGAAGGAAGATTAAAATAAATGGGCTCTAAATTGATAGGATCACAGATCCATTTGAGTATTTAAATGGTCAGTGGTAAGTATTCAGAATTCCATATTCTTTATCTCTTTTGGCCTGTATTGCTTCATTTAGATTGGTTTAAAAAAAATTATTTTAAGCTGCGGCTTCAGTTGGTGTGAATTTGGGAATGAAAAGTTTGTAAGTCTGATTCTGATATTTCTAATCATGGGTTTTACTTAAGTTTTTACTGTCACTCATTCATGAAACTGTTAACGTTAAAAAATGATTATGTAGATTGATAATAATCTCTGTTTTTCAGATAATACCCTAAAACTATTAAAAGACTTAATGAACAGAAAATCTCTTCAAGTGCCAAATATTTATTACCATTTGCCTCATTTATTGGACAATGAAGGAAGCCTTCAACCTGCCGTGCAGATTGGTTTTGGAAGAGCAAGAGGTACGCTTTATTTTTGTAAAATTGTTAAAAAAAAATTTTCTTTTGTATAGATCTTAATTTGGCCTTTCAGATGTGCTATGGTTTTATCTGACTACTCAAAGTTAAAGCTTTCACTTTATTTATGATGGCCTCTCTTGAAATCAGTTGCTAAATTCCAAAATCTAAATAAGGTAAAAAACTTCTATGAAGATGAAAGGAATTAGGGCCCTTCTACCCTTCTTAGCTGTAGGATTTGGATGATAAAGGAAATATTAAAAAGAGATATTAAAAAAAGCTAATTCTTAAATTTTGGAGATTAAGATTTCATAGCTGTACTTGTAAGCCCATTCCAATGTTTACTAGTTCTTAGGGTCATTTCATGAGGGTTGCTCTTATGTTTGTCTTTACTTTCTCCTATTAAAATGGAAGCATTTCTTCTGTTTACTTTTCTGTGGAGTTATAAATACAGCCAGATTTTATCTCTAAAAACTTCACATACCCAAAAATAGATTTTAGGAGCTTTCATTGCTTTACTTAAGCAACTGTGTGTCCTTTGATGTCTGTCTCCCTTTCACCCAATTTATTTTCCATTCCCTTAATTATTTTAATTAGTTTTCTCTACATCTTCAACTTTATCATTCTTTTAAAAATGTAAAAATAAATTTGGGATATGTTAGTCTAATAAAAATCTAATTATAACTAAAAGGGTTAATTCTTAGCTTTTCCATGCAAGTTCACTTTTTTGAAAATATGGTCACTGTTGCTTTCATTTAGTTTGTGACATGTCTCTCAGTGGTTTCTTTCTTACACTTATATCTTCAATCTTCTTCCCTGTTTCTTATTCAGAGGTATATGCTACTGTTTTCAATGCCACAAAAATTTATGAAGCACCTGTTTTGTCAGAGGCAATGAAGATACAAAAGTCAAAATAAGAAACAAACCGTGTCCTGAAAGAATTTTTAATTACTTTATGTTTATTTCTATTTGAATTTTACCCTGTTTTTTGTTTTGTTTTGTTTTGTTTTGTTTTTTTTGGTCAGGCCATCTCTAATCTACTAAGGTCATTTAAGTTCTCTTCCTCCTTTAAAACATATTTTCAACTGTGACTTAGTGGTATCTGCAAGTTTATTGGGGATATTCTAATTTTTTTGACCTGGAATGTAGAATTCATAAATTTTTGTGTACTAAATGTGAAGTTAAAAATATCTCAGTGAAGTCCTGTAATTTTTTTTTATACTTTTGATATCTCTCTCTCTTTCCCTCTCTCCAGACCAGTTTTTTTTTTTTGTATAGGGAACTTCTAGTAAAGATACTTCCTTTACCTGCCAAGACCAGCAACTAGTCTGTAATTTCTAGTCTTGTTGCTTGAGACCTTGAGAGGTTAGATGACTTGATGAGAGTCAAACAGCCAGTAGACATCAGAGGACAAGCTTGTTTGGTGAACTGGCCTTGTCTAGGCCAGTCCCTTGGTGGTTTAGGTCTGAAACTGGGAGGAAATTAGATAAGTCATGATCCATAATAGTTAACCAAAGGAGTTTTCTTAGTGAGAGCATAAAAGAGATATTCAGAATGGAGAGAGATAGGGTTAAGTATTGATTTGTTTGAGCCTGACTTCCTAGTGAGGTTCATGCTTTTAGTCTGTGATCATAGGCTGGGAGATGCTTTTGTCCTTGAATGGTGGCCTAAACCCTTCTTTCCTGAAGCATTCAAATGTTGAGTTTCAGTGTCTTTTAATAAAAAATTTGTCTGTCTTCCATGTGGATGGGGAAGGAGTGGGGCTTAGGATATTGGTCCCACCACAACTTGAACCTAGATCTTGATTTTGAAGGAAGTTCTCTTCTGCTTAACAGGTAAAAATATTAAATACTGAAAGCTTCAGGACTAACTTCTGTATCTCTCTCTCCATTTTGCTTCTGAATTGTTTATTATTACAAATAGCTCTAGTAAGTTGGTAGGTGTTATTGAACCAATATGTTTTTAACTTAAGAGAATGTCACTTAAACAAATTATAGCCTCTATAAAGTCCATTATATTTACTTATTTCTCCATGTATGAGACCTGTGACTATTTCAGAAGGAAAGTACAATAAAGTTTTGTTGAATCAATTTTTATATAAGAACTCTAAAGTACTATGCATTTTTTTTAAGAGAGCAAAAATTACGGGCAAGAAGAGCTGACAATTCAGGGTCTGTTCTATTTTCAAAAGCTACCTGTTTGATTCCTTTAAGAAACAAAAAAGGCTTTAGAACTTCCTACCATGAGGCCTATCTACACAGGAGGCAGACTGCCCATCTTCCACATTTCTATTCCAGCCAAACCGTTAATTTGCATCAGACCAAAAACAGTCAAGAATTCCATTGAAAGCATAAAAGATAAGTCAAAATCTTGTAGACAAAAGGAAAAAGCTTGCCATCTATAGTAAGAACCTGTGACAGTTCCTCCCTTTGTGACTAGAGATAAAGACACATTAGCCTGTAAGATTCTTTGTCTGGAAAGAGCAAGAGGAGAGCTGTCCTCTGAAAAAGCCCCAGGGTAAGGCGTTTGGAAATCAGTAACAGGTAGTTACAATGGGCAGGGGTGTGAAATTTGGTTTGGTATACAACTTTTAGATTGGAACAGTCTAGTCCCATGGACTCCCAGGTCCCCAGAATTCTTTTTCTGAAATGCCAGTGAAGGTCTAAGGTCAGAAACCCTAGGAGAAAGAAATAGGGACAAGAAACCAGAGGATGCAGAGCAAGATCGTGCAGAATCCATCACTTCACCCAAAAGTAAAGCAGGAGGCAGAGCCTGAATGTGGCACAAAGCCCTAATTCGGGACCGACAGCAGGAGAGAGGAGTAAACAAAACACTTAACAGTGTTGAAAATTCTGCAAAAATAGAAGCGAGTAACTGACTCATTAACGACTATAAACAGAGATTCAGAAGGGAAGAATGGGTTTTCCACAAGGACTACATGAATATCTGGAAGAAAAAGAGGAAGAGATTGTTAAAAATAAAATAAGAACTTTGGAGGAAATAATTGGAAAGGACAATTAATTAGCGGAAGAAGAGAAAGTGGCAAGAAATGGACTTGGGAAAAAAAGGACTTTCTTACCCAAGAAATGGACTTGAAGAAAACTAGAACAGCTCAAACAGAAATCAGTGACTCCATGAGGCAGCAGGAAATATTAGAACATTAACAGACTTTTTAAAAAAAAAGGAGATAATGTAAAATACTGAGTGTCAAAAACAACTGACCTGAAAACAGGTTAAAGAGAGATAACTTAAGAATCACTGAACTCTGAAAACCACAATTTTTTTTTTTAAAAGAGAAGCCTGGATGTTGTATTTCAAGAAATCATAAATGAAGATTGTTTAATTCTATTAGAACCAGAGGGCAGTGTTAAAGATAGAAAGAATCCTCATTTTAAACAGAACTACAAAAGAAAAAGTTCCAATATTGTTATAGTAAAAATCCAGAACTTCCACATCAAAGAAGAGATAATTATTAGCACACAGAAAGAAAACAGTTTAAGTACCAAGAAACCAGTTAGGCTCACAGAAGACCTGGCAACTTCCATGTTAAATGAAAAGAGATTTTAGAATACAATATTCCAAAATGTTTGTAACCAAGAATAACATATCTTGCAAAGCTGAATGAACCTTTAATGGAACAGAGGGGACCTTTAAGCATTTCTTTTGAAAGAACCATAGCTGAGTAGAACTTTGATATGCAAAACCAAGAGTCTAGAGAATCCAAGAAAGATAAAACTTTTAGAGCATTTGGAAGGAACTATATGATAATGTAGTGCTAATGAATAATTCTATTTTAATAGAAGCAAGTATTCCTATATTTCCCATAGTGGTTCTCAAGCTAGCAGGGGTTTTGAGGTAATTAAAAAAGAAAAAAACAGAAGCCTTGAGAGTGGATTAGTTCTTTTCTGAGTTTTTGAAACAGGAAGGATACGCTAGTGTAGAAAGTTGGAATAAGGTGGCATGACTTGTTATTTCTCATAATTGGGGTATGTGAGAAGAAGAGTATGGAGAAAAGGTTAAGGGGGAGTGGGTATCAGGTGACCCTCACTCTTATCTGAAACAAAGTAGTTTGAGCACAAAGAGTTTGGTGTAGAAATAATCAGACTCAAATGAGCAGGAATGGAGAGGTATTTAAAAGGGAGGATAATAGTGGGAAGATAATAGTTACAAGCGAAATAAATTTACTGAACTTGAAGGAGTTAAAAGGGAAGAAAAAAAAGCAAAGAACTAGAATCTAAAGAGATGTCTTAGATTTCCTCTTAGTTAAGGAATGGCTGAACAAATTGTATTTATATTTATATATATATATATATATATAATGAAATATTATAGCACTGCAAGAAAGGACAGAAGAGACATTTTAAGAGAATCTTGGGTAATATGGGTAATATGAATTCATACAGAGTGAATAGATCAGAATCAAGAGAGTATCTTATACAAAGGCAGCAACATTGTAAAGAAAGACAACTTTAGAAGGCTTATGACTGTGATCAGTGAATGTAATGACTAGATATAATTTCAGAAGATATTCTACCTATCTCCTGATAGAGAAGTGATAGACATAAGGTACAGAAAAATATATTTTTTGGACATGGTCACTTGGTTGATTTCATTTTGCTTGACTATGCTTATCACTTACAGGGTTTTCTTTCAAATTGGGACACTAATGCACTGTTGGTGGAGTTATGAACTAGCCCACCCTTTCTGGAGAACAATTTGGAACTATGCCCAAAGGGCTATAAAATTTTGCATACCCTTTGACCAAGCAGTACCACTGTTAAGGTCCATATCCCAAAGAGATCAAAGAAAATAAAGAAGGACCTATTTGTGTCAGAATATTTATAGCAGCCTTTTTTGTGATAGCAGAGAGATTGGAAATCAAGATAATATTCATCATTTGGAGAATGGCTGAACAAGTTGTGATAGGTGATTGTGGTGGAATACTGTTGTGTTATAAGAAATGACGAGGCAGGATGGTTGCAGAACCACAAGAACATTGTATACAG